GTATTTCGGACGCTAAAGACAAAATTTCGCTCTTCATTTACGATATTTTATTGTCTAAAACAAGCATATGGATAAGCTGTGGGAAAATCAAATCTTTTCACGCTGATTAAAGGGTCAGATCAGTTTTGATTGAGTTTTTGAGTTTTGCACTGTTCTGATGTATCGAGTTTGTTTGTTTTTTCTTTGGGTTTTTTTATCCTAAGTAAGTATTAGTATTCCTCTCTGAAGTTTGTTATTGTAGTACCATTTATACAATCAGATGATTGTTTTTGGAAAAATTGTTTGCTAAAAAACTTTGTTTCCTAGGTTCGATATCCATCTCTAGCGGAAGAAGTGAAAATTGGCGACTATTATTTACGAATATTGCTGCAAGAGAATGATGCCACCGCTACACCGATACATAATCCGTAAGTGGTCTTCGTAACATTTCTATCTCGATTTTTTAGTAATTTTTGTGAAATGGTAAGTAACGGCCATTGGTAGGCTGGGTCATAAGTGGACGGTCCAAGTGGAGCAGCCGAAAATTGATAAATAATTTGTGGACCTTGGCAGGCTGAACCGTAATTTCTGAAGTAAACGGCCGGTCCGAGCCGTGGAAAATATGGGACGGCCGTAACCCATAAATTTTAACTTTTACTTCGTCGTGTTCCGCTAATAGTTTACTGGGTCTGTCAATGAGATTTAATAAATTACTAGTTCAGTAACTTCTATTAATTGCCGAGAAATAGAGACAACAGATGGATGAAGGGAATTTTTGATCGGTACCTGCACAATTACTAACTGAAAGTGCTCATCGATCTCACCGGCCGATTGACCGCCAGACGATGCAGCACTGGTCAAAGCAACTGAAAAGCTGTCAGCGGCACTAGTGGAGAAACCAACTAGAAATAATAGCTGATCCAAGTATTTCAGTTATAAACAGCTCCCTAGAAAATTAAAAGATTTTTCCATGCTTTTTTCATTTTTTCCTTCAGAGTTTCTCAAAAGATTTTTTCTTCCTTGTTGCGTGCGTGCTACTGACAGTTCAAAGTTAAATTTTTTTTAATTTTTATTTTCGACGTTTTTTTAAAATTTTTTAGGGACAGTTTGATTTTTTAGGATTTTTAGGGTCATTTTCTTAAATTTTTTAGTACCGCCTATTATGGTTTTTCATAACTTTTAATTTTTGACAAAAATTTTTTCTTTTTAATGCTTTCGTTTCTTTTTTTTGCAGGGGTGATTTTTTTAATAGCGTCTATCATCGTTTTTTACTTTCGGCAAAAAGCGAAATGCGTTGTCTGTGTCTGAAAGCAATGGCTGTAACATATGCACGGCATCATATCACAATTGGTTCATTTATTGATTCAAAATATATTGTCAATATGCTTTCCAAATGCACAAATCCAGCAGAGCGCGATCACCTGGTAAAATGTTTTTTTTGAGCCCAATTCCTCGAACATTTACTGTTTTTTTTTGTTTTTGAAAACTGAAAAAAAAAAAAACGAACACCAAGAACAGTGGTACAAACCGTAGAAAATACGGAGCGACTGAATTCGTATAAAAGTAGCAGTTGTGCTGTTTGTGGAAATTGTATTTCTTCAGCCGTGCATTTGGCAAAATTTCACTTGCCTTAATCATTGCTGAATCGCGAGTTATCAGCTTGCTGGCGATCCTGGCATCTCTTTGTCTTCTTTTAAAATTATCTGTCCAGCAGCTCCTTGCACAAAAACAAATAGAGATGCTTTATTACAATAATTTTTTCCAATGATTACAATGGTTTATTTTTCCAGTTACAATGATTTTTTTCTAGAGATTACAAAGATTTATTTTTCCAAACATTACTCTGAATTGGTTACATCTAACTGAAAACATTTTCCTTCTTTATGTTTAGATATTTCTCATCAGTAAGTTGGTGCAAAATAAGGATAATGTGCGCGAATTGCTCTGTGCCGGTATTTTACCTTTGCTGGTTGATACTGCAGTACTGGCTCATCTTCACGTAAATCGTGCAAAAATACACAACCAGGTTTTGTTTAGAATAATTTTAGTAGTATTTTTTCAGGTTGTTGCTTTGTTAAACTGATTAACACTATCCAGTGCCGCCCGGCAACCGAGACATTAAAAGAGTTTTCTACGCGTTTTTAGCATCTATACAATGCAAAAATGCATGCTCTCGAGGGGTTATCTGTGTGCATTTGCGTATTTGCGCCTGTACTGATTTTTCATCTCAAGACCCGGCGAAGCTAAAAAGCTAAAACTTTGGCAACTTAGTCTTCGCCTTTGTGCAGATCCCTATCCCCAAAATGGTCGTCCAAGCCCACGTAGTTCTCACATCCGGGCTGGAGGAGATTTTTGGCGTGTAATTTGCTAACTCGGGAACCTGAAAAGCTGGAAAGCAGAAATTTTGAGGGATATTCTTTGTTCAAAACGATTTCAAATTCATCCGCCAGACGGACCTGTGGAAATTTTTTTCAGGCAAATTTTTAACTCGTGAATCAGAAAAGCTGGAAAGCTGATATTTTAAGGGGATGTTTTCTCACAGTTGCGGCGGCCAGTCTCAATTCTTTTAGCTAGAAGTATCTGCCGAAAAAAATAATGCCGTTAGCGACAAAGACGGGAACTGTACAAAAAACGCATCTTCGCACCGGTATGTTGCCCAATTATTTTGTAAATTATGAAGATATTTCTTTTACTTCTGGTTATTTAGATTCAAACAAATGTGATTGAGGCAGACGTAGCGACAAAAAACGATGGTACAGCTGAATGGTACTACACTGATAAGGAGGGGGAACGTCAAGGACCAGTTACTTTCAATGAGGTGAACATTTCCGATAATTCAACCCATGCACACGTGGCATCCTCTAGGATTTGCCTACTCTTTTAACTTTCCTGGTAAATCGGATTAATTTGGGAAATAAGAGCTGAAGGCAATCATGTCAATATCAAATAATTGGCCAACGCACGGCCTGCCCGTGCGAAGATGCGTTTTTGCACGGTTCCCTGCAGTTTTGTTGCTACCAACACCGGTTTTTTCGGCAAATGCTTCTAGCTAAACAAATTAAGACTGGCCACCA